AGGACCAAGATGTTACCGATGAATTCATTTGGAATTTCGTTGTAGTAGCAATTAATTGTTATGTCAGGTCAATAATAAACAAATAACTCAATTTCAAATTCTTGTATTGCTGTGAGGATGTTTCAAAAATTAAGTCATTTGATTGGTGTGCATACACGTATGAAAACCTGATCACCTCCGTTGCGGAACGGAAAGATGGAGCTTCTTATTTCACAGGACCTCTGCCATTTTTGATGGTAACATTCTGCTGTTTCATAAAATATTTCTACTGTCCATTTAATAATATTAGTGTTTCAAAAAATAAACTATTGTTACACAAATTACAATATGCCTAATGTTGATTCACTAATTAATCAATTATCTGATGCTCTAATATATATATTATGATGTTTCATATTATATAGCTATTGTTCCAATCTTTAAGTCTACGGTTCCAGAAACTGTATGTAATGTTCCAACAATAAAACATACCTGTTCCATTTTTTTTAATTGCAATATGCCTAATGTCGATTCAGTAATATTCTGCTGTTTCATAAAAACGTTATACTGTTCCATTTAATTATTTCACTGTTTCAAAAAATATACTTTATGTTACACTAATTACAATATGCCCAATGTATATATTCTGATGTTTCATATTATACATCTATTGTTCCAATTTTTAAGTCTCTTGTTCCAGATACTATTTGTAATGTTCCAATTATAAAGAATACCTGTTCCATAAAAATACAATATGCATAATGTTGATTCAATAATATTCTGTTGTTTCCAAAAAAAGTTCTACTGTTCCAATTAATAATTTTACTGTTTTAAATAATATACCTAATGTTACACCAATTACAGTATGCCTAATGTTGATTCAGTAATCAAATTATGTGATGATCCAGTATATATATTATGTTGTTTCATAGTGAACATATATTGTTCCACTTTTTAAGTCTATTGTTCCACGTTTTAAGTATATTGTTCCAGAAGCTGTTTGTAATGTTCATGTATTTTAAACAACTACGTAACTAATCTATTTTCTCAAACAAGTTATGTACTTTGATAGACTAAAACGAGGAACAACTCAACCCCCAAGGACAATACCCCTCTTGTCCGTTTGGAACAAGGAAATGATTCAACAACGGATGAAGGTGGAATTAAAGAGAGGTTTCGGGCAGGGTATAGTCCTTGACAAGTTGAGAATCAACAAAGAAAATCCTGTTAAAAAAGCTGAGCAAGAACCCTCGTCATCCTCTGCACCTGAAGATATAATGGTAAAAACAAAAAAAAAAATCATTATGTTGTTCCATGACTTACATTCAATTATTACAAAAAATATGCCTGATGTTACAATGCTGATTCATATAATATGCCTGTTGTTGTTTAATGATCCAGCATCTGCATTGTGTTGTTTCAAAAAAATATATCTATTGTTCCTGCTAATAAGCATACAGTATGTGATGTTACAATTAAGAACCCTCCTCAATTATGTTGTTCCAATCTTTACAGTTAATGTTTCATAACATATAACTACTATTTCATTAAAGTTGTTTATTGTATCTACCAATATTTTCTGTTCCATAAAAACTTTATGTTGTTTCAAATATTATACCTGTTGTTTCATTTTCTTTATATATTTTTCCAGTACCTATATTCAATACATCTCATTTATATTGTTCATATGATATAGGCTTTTTTAATAGATGAATTCAACAACATGGCTAAGGCACTTGCTTCCCATGTCAATGAGATGTATGCTTTGGTTGACAAAGCTTACAAGATGTTAGAAGAGGTTGAGATTCCGGATGAGATGAAAAGTCTCATAAAAAACGTTTGGGGTAAGTATTCTTCAGTACAACCCACAATAAGTCAAGAAAGAATCAGGATCCCTGGGATTCTCTCCCAAGACCAGAATCTGTTTGATGAACCAGCGTTTTTGTCAGAGTTGAATGATGTGATGAGTAGATCTTGGGCTACATTCCAGCCCAAAATAAAGGGAAAGAACAAGAAGTACCCCCCCGAACATGCTGCTCAAGACCCTTCCCATGTACAAGCTGCAAAAGAGCCCCCCCCCCAAGAACTAGTTTTAGAGATTGTTCCAATTGCTTAATTCGGCCCAAATTTCAACCTTTTCGTAGGATCACAGGCATTGCCTCCTACTCCCCTAACTTCCCCAACACCCGAAGAACCAACAACAGAACAACAGTTGGAACACCTCACTTAATCAATTGTTCATAAAATAACAACATCCCATTTCAGTGTGCCTGAAGGTGGACAACAAAGAGAAAAAAGGATCACTCAAAACCTTCCACCAAATATACGTTCACCGTTCATGGTTCAAAATGAAAAAATATCTAGAAAGTTTGATGCACAGCAGAGAACGATTGCTGAATATGCATTTTCTGTCGGTCCCAAAACGTAAGCAACATAATAAATGTTCTGTTAATTCAACTGTTCCATATACTATTTTTATTGTTCCAATTTAAATAACTTGTTGTTCCACAATTTCAGTGAGGAGCTGTACAATGACACGCTCAATTTTATCACTAGGGATGAAATTTCATGCCCACAAGAAAACAACTACATAATCAACAACATAGTTGACTCTTGGGCACGTATTCTGAACATGGCCAACAAAAGAAGAAAACCTGGAGCCATTAACAGATTTTTCTGCACTTCTAAATGTTGGGTAATTATGTGTGATTTTTTTAAAAGTTGTTTCATAAAAAATGTCAGTTGTTCCATTAATACACTTACTGATCCATAAAATCTGACTGATTTTTCAATTATTATGTCTATTGTTTCTTTATATGCTGTATTGTTTCACAAAATATGACCATAGGTACGCTCTATTGTTTCATAAAAATTCCCAATGTTCCTAATAATTGTGCTATTGTTTCTACAGTAATAAATTTAAATTTATTTTTAAATTTTTTCCCTGGCCAAATGCAGATTATGATGTGCATTGACAAATACTTCACTTTAAAAGGCAAGTTTGTGGAGAGATAATACTAGAATAGAAAAGGAGATGATACACTCCAAGATCACTACATTTGACAAAGTTGGCTTGGTTAGTATCTAAATTCTATTGTTCCATTATATCCATTTATTATTTCTTAAAATAGGCCTAATGTTTCATATAATATGTCTATTGTTTCATGACAGGTATTCTTTCCAATAGTCGCATTTGAACACCACTACCTGTTCTGTTTTAATTTCATACACAAAAAACTAGAAGTGATTGACAAACATAAAACTGGAAGAAGGTGTTGATATGGACGCCAAATACAGGAACTTCCCAACTATAATGGTAAATTTATTTGACTACTGTTCCAAATATTATCCGTATTGTTCTAGTTTGTCTATTGATTGTTCCTTAACAGATTTTGTATTGTTCCTGATTATTTTTAAATTGTACTTTTTTGTTATGAAGATCAAGGCATTTGGAAAAGTACTGACAGAGAATAAAATTGGGAATGGTCGAGTAGTATCGAGATTCAAACCAGTACTAAAGGAACTAAGATGGCAAAACAATGAAAATGCAAATGATCGCGGCGTACACACTCTGAAACATATGGAAAGTTATACGGGACAAACTAATTTACATTGGGATATAGGTTTCGACCCAAAAGATGTAAGTTATTACGCCTATTGCTCCATAAAATATGCCAATTGTTTCAGTTTTTATACCTGTTGTTCCATGGTATATTATCAATTGTTCCAGTATTTATTTTCTATTGGTAAAATATTTTTCACTCGGAATAATGAAGAAGATGAGAATAGAATATTGTGGCAAAATCTTAACAAGTCCAGCAAACAACTTATAGGATAAAGTGAGCATTAGAGCAGCTACGCCATGTATCGCAGTAATCAATGACAATTTTAGATTAGTTTATGTTTGGATGTTTTGAATGGATGTTTTTTATGGATGTTTTATATGGATAGTTTAGATTTTAATGGGTTTGTATTGTTGGAACAATAGATTATTAACATGGAACATTATGTATGTATTATTGGAACAATAGTAGTACTAATACGCAACAATAATTATGCATGTTAGATGTTCAATTCAAAAAGATATACTATCACACTAAGTATAATATGCAAGAACAGTAAGCATATAAAATGAAACAACAAAATAGTATTTACCTCTGTAATTGATTATATATGATATTAGGTCCAGTTGCCCATATCAGATCCGGCAATGACAGTAAACCACAAAATGTAGTCCGACGTATAACCCTGAACGTAGTCCGTGGTATACCGCCATTACCGGAAATAATGAGGGAACAATAAGAAAATAAAAGAAAGAGTTGTAGAAGAATTAAATTGGTTGTGTTCAAATCAAGTCCAAGATACTTTATATAGAAGGCCACAAAAGTGTGAAATGACATAAAAGCATGAATTAACACAGCATTACACGTTTCCATTAACTTCTACCCAAAGATCTTGTGTCACACGTGATTTTAAAATAAAAAAAAAAGTAAACTTGTCAAATCATTACACATTCCCACATGAAATCAAATTGTAGATTTTCTGAAATGTGTACGTCTCCAAAGATTATTATTTAACTTTTTTAAAATGCAAATAAATGACTGTTTATATTTAGTGAAATTACTGGATATTTGAACTATTGTTCTAAATGAGTAATATAATATTCCATATAGTGAAACAATTGTTCCATATGTCAACATTGATGTTCCATATATGTGAATCATTTTTTCGACAGCGTACAAACATTGTTCCATGTGAATCATATATTAAAACGGATGTTCCATATATGTCAAAACTGATGTTCCAATACTTAAGTCATTGTTCCATGTGTTTGAACCATTGTTTCCGTAGTTTTTGAATTACTGTTCCACACATTTGAATTACTGTTCCAATTATTTGACTGAATGTTCTCCGCATCTTCAATAATTAGTTATTGTTGCACTGTTGGTAACTTACTGAAATCATTAGAACAAACAAAGAGGTGAGTGACAATAGTTTAATAAAAAGGAACAATAATTATACTAACACGGAACAATAGAACAAACTAGTATTTCGCACGCGCAATTTTGAACAGTTTTATAAGGACAATTCCGAATATCATGATATGCAATATCCCCACAACCACTACATTTCCTATTCTTCTTCTTATTACATTGTTCAACTGCTTTCTCCTTAGCGCCCTTTAATCGTTTAGACCCACTGATTCCACTGCCATCATGAACACCTATGCCTTTATTCTTCGACACTTTAGGAGGCTGAACCAGTATTTCATCAGGCATACTACATCCAATTAACATTTCAATGTCATGTTCATTTGGTCTTGCATTCTCACTTTCAACTGCAGTAACACTCTTTATGCCTTGAATTTTATTTTTAAACTCTCGAATATTCTTAATACAATCTTGCTCATGACCTTTTACCCAACTCACACAAGAAAGTATCTCAGACCACATTTGATTCAATACCACCCTCCTATCACCATCCATATCTGTACAACTTTTCTCTAACATTGGTTTCTGAGTAGTAGTTATTGTCCACCGATCTAATATATATTGCTTTGGAATGCTTTTTAAATTCTTTGCTTTCCACATCCATATCATATGTCTACATGGGATTCCTATCCTATAGAACTTTTTACATGAGCATGTAGTTTCATAATTAACAGACTCAAATATAACATTAATTTTTCTTCTCCTATTAGCCTCAATAATTACTGCTATATCCATTCCATTTTCCTTCCTCAATTTATCCACACCACAAGAATAAAAAGCACTATGAACTTCATCTTGAAAATCATAAAAAGCAGAAACGGTGTATACCTCTGAACTATGCCTCTCAATCAGCATTTCTGTCTTACATCGAGGGTACTTCTCCTGTGAATCATTGTCATTTTATGCCTAACTGTGTCTTTGTGCATCCAACGCAGTTTCATACCTCATGAAAAAACCACAAGAGACACATGAGGATTAACAAATGACGTAAAAAATTATTCTCACTCTCAGACCTTGATGTAGTTCTCATAATTCCTCCCATAAAAACGTCTCTAAAATACGCAGGAATACACATAGATCTCATCTCAAACATCAAATTAAGCCAGTCATGGTCTTCTAAATTGAACTCAACAAGAACATCGTTCCACATCTCTTCAAATTCAGTTGACTCAATATCTAAATTCCAAAAACGCTTACTAAGTTTCTTCAAAAATTCAGTCTCCTGAGTAATACTCCTTCCTACTTTATTAGGCAGCGTTTTCATAATATGCCACATATAAAATCTACAGACAAATATCATAACAACAAAATAAGTATGGGACATTTAAACAAAATTTCGGAACAATGTCCTATAAAAATGGAACATTAACATAATAATTCGGAACAGATAAATAAAAATAAACAATAATACAGAATAGCTAATTAAAAAAATGGAACATTAGAACAATATTTCGGAACAATGTCGTATAAAACGGGAACATTAATACAATAATTCGGAACAAAAAAATAAAAAATAACCAATAATTCGGAGCAGATCATTAACAATGTGGACCAGTAAAACGATAATGCAAAACAATATCAATAAAAAATGGAACAATTACATAATAATTCAGAGCATATTATAAAAAAATGGAACATTTAAAAAAAATTAGTTCGGAACAGCTAATTAAAAATATGGAACATTAAAACAAGAATTTGGGACAATACAATAAAAAACTGGAACATTAAAATGACAATAGAATATCATATACCTGTGTTCACATTGGTCAAAAACAGAATTAACAGCAATCTTCATCGTCGGATCTTGATCCGTAATTAAACAATTAGCATTAGTAGAAAAACTGAAATCAGCATCGCCCTTTTCGCACCAGTTTTTAAAAACCGGTGCCAAAAAAATAGCGGGATTGAGGGAAAGAGTTTTCGCACCGGTTCTAACCAAACTGATGTGAAAGATGAGTCAATCACACCGGTTACAACCAAACCGGTGCGAAAAATGAGTTAATCGCACGTTCGAACTGGTGCGAAAGCTATTGTGAAATAAAAAAAAAATCGGTCTATATAATCTTCTTTCTTTCTCTTTCAATTCCTCGATCTCTCCTCCTCTCTCATCTGCCTCTCTTTCCTTTAGTTCAATAATGGAGGTTCAACACTTTCCTCAAACTCCTTCTCTCTCCTTCGATCTCCTTCTCCATAACCGCCACTTTCCCTTTTCTTTCTTCTCTCCTTTGATCTCCTTCTCCTTCTCTGTCTGAAATCGACGTCATTAGAACCGAGCACAACCACCATCGCCGCCGCCGTCAATTTGAACCAAATACAACAACAACAACAAACTTGAATCAATTATCGATTCAAAAATCACAAATTCGAGGTATGTGCTCTTCGATTTGAAATCTAGGTTCTATGTTTTTTTTTATTTTTTATTAAAGATGAAAAAATGAAATTTTGATTGAATTTAATGGTGAGAATGTGAGATGATAGGATTTCTGATTTTTATTTATTTTTTTGTGATTATGGTGACGGTGGTCGGTGCTATTTGTGGTGGGTTCTTGGGTGTGGTGGTGGTATCGTGGGTGCGGTGGTGATTTTGTGGTTGCGGTGGTGGTTTTGTGGGTCGTGAGCTGCTGCTACGAGTTTAGTGGTGGTGGTTTTGCATTATATTCACGCTTTCATTCATGGTCTTCGCATTGATCAAATCGAACATGGTTGTATTCTCTGCTCTTTCAATGTTCATCAACGTCTCCTGATTTGTTTCTCTTTCTTCAATTTTTATGATAATTTTTGATGGGTTTTGTAATAGGGTTTCTAATTTGACTCCGAATCTCCGAAATTGTTTTGGGGATGATATTGTAGAATACTGCGAATACTCTTCATGGTGGCGCAATTGCGTCTTTGGTGGATTTGGTGGGTTCGGCTGTTGTTTTCACTATTGGAGCTCCGTCTAACGGTGTTTCTGTTGAGATCAATGTTTCCTACCTTGATGCTACACTTCCTGATGTATGTTGAGGGTATTTTTGGGGAGAATTCGTGATTTTGTTGGATTTTTATTGCTTTATTGATGTTGATAAGTTGGAATTTGTATGTGTTCTGTATATTTTGATGTTTTCGACATACTGAATTGTGTGAATGTTGGAATTGAGCTTGTTGAAGTGATTTTATAATCTATGAAGATTGATTTACTGTTGATTTTCTGAATTTAATTGTGATTTTAGTCCAATAAGGGTGTTGTTGATTTAATTGTTTCTTGGGTGATAAAATTTAAGAATTTCGAGTTATCGTTAATTGTTGGTGCTTGAAGTGATTCATCATTCAATGGAAGACTAAAGAGGGAAAATCCCTTTTTACAAGTTATAATTATGTACTTGGTATATTACAATAGTGAATGAGGTTTGTTTCTTTCTGTAATTGTAGTGCATTACTGGTAAGAAAGTTTAATTGTTTTGTTGGGTGAGCAAGCAATTGAACCTTTGGCTTCTTTTTCTTTTGATCAGAAGCAAACTAGGCTAGCTCCACCATACAGATTGTAGGTTGTGAAAGTGAGTATGTGGGGGTTTGATTGTAAGATACTAAGAAGTACGAATGGTTAAAGATTAAGGAGTTCACTCTAGGTCTTTTTCGGGTTATATGCTATATCATATGATGGCTTCTACATAGATTTATTTTACTTATTATGTGTGGAAAGCATTCGTCAAACTGATGCTTAATTAAATCTCTTGACATGGTGTATTGCTGGTCAGAGTGAAAATGAGATTGGTTACTTTAATCTTCCTTGTAGGTTTTGAGGGTTATGTGGCCGTTTCTTTGCTACCTGGATATAGAAAGAAAGCAATTATATGGACGTTACAGCATAAAGATGTTGAAGTGTTGGTTAATTGTAATATTACAACCTTTTTTTAATGAAAATATGTAACTTTATACATATTAGTGGTTCTATATCAATTTAAGTGAAAAAAATGCAAATTTTTTTTATTTTTTAATTTTTATTTTTTTGGGGTATTTTTGGCATCGGTTTTGAAACAAAACAGGTGCTAAAAGTTTTTATTTTTATTTTTTGGGCCACTTTTAGCACCGGTTCATAGCAAGAACCGGTGCGAAATCTAAGAATTGGCACCGGTTTTGAACCGGTGCGAAATCTTCTGGTTTTTGGCATCCCTCAAATCTGGACCGGTTCAAACCGGTGCTAAATGAGGGGTTTGAACTGGTGCTGATTACCATTTTTCGCCTATTGTAGGTTCTCTATGGCCCATTGCCTTAATAAATGTTCTAAATAGCCATAGAAATGAAACTACGTCTTCCTTTGCTATAAACCCAGCAGCAAAAGTAACACATTTCTTGTGGTTATCGACTCCTGTGAATAGCCCAAAGACCATATTGTACCTGAAATTAATACAAAAACTCATATAACCAATATTAATATATTTTAAAAATAATGTTCTTCATTCTTCCTCTGTTGTTCCACATAACTGTTATAATGTTCCAAATATATAATCTAATGTACCATTTTTGTATAACATGAATTCATATATGAAAATACTAGTCGACTTATACATATATAAAAATACCATTATAATACACATACAAATACCTGTTACTTTGGTAAGTAGTATCAAAGGAGACCATATCACCATAAACAACATAATTCTTTGTACAAATAGGATCTTCCCATAAAGCTCTACAAAGACAATCATCTTCATCCATTTCATAATAAAAAAAAATATGTCGACCACATTAACGTTTTCCTCTTAAAATTGTCAACAAACATCTGGGTGTCTGATCCTTCAATATAAGCCTTCAAATCTCTATGAAAGTTCTTGAAATCAGACTTACTAGCACCTATATTCTCATATCCCCCAACATATTCCTTCATCATTCTGAATGTTTTCACAGGGCTAATATTAACCTGTGTACAATAAAAACAATAATAAAATTATTATAAGTGTGTATAATAAGGTAGGTGAAAACCCTACCTTACATGGAAACCATGCTATATATGAGATCAAATCTAGGGCTTAATTAGATCTGACGGTGCACATTTAATTTAAAAAAAAGGAAATTGAAAACGAATCTATATTGTTCTACTCAGTATGAACACATTTTTATAATAACTATTAATCCACTGACTTGAACTACTGTTCCATTTATAAATTAACAAGTTCCATTTAGTTACACAATTGTTCCATATATTTGAAGTCTAATAATTACAATAATTTTTCCTACAAACTATATTGTTTCATTTTCAAAAACTATTGTTCCATACAATTATACATACATGAACCGTCGTACATAATACCGTATCTACTAATCCATATTCAAACATTATTGTTTCATAACATTGTGCCTAATGTTCCATATAATTAAACTAATGTTCTACAGTATGAGAAATATAAATCAAATTAATGAAACCATAATTAAATACCTTTGAATTATCAATAATCATTTTCCTATGCAACAATGTCAGCTTTCTTTTCGACTTCTGAAAATGAGCATTGTTATGAGAATACATTGGATGAGTATGCCCTTCTTCAAATTTAGAAACAATATAACCTCCATCTTCATATCTCTTTAATATCATTTTGGCCCTACAACCAACTCGACTATCCAATCTTCTTCTAATAATACAAGTATTGCCTTGAACAACATTGTTTTCTTCTTCATTACTGTCCCCTTTATCTTGTACATCGTTGTCTTCTTCATCTTGAACATCATTGACTTCTTCTTCATTCATATCCTATTTATCTTGAATAACATTGTCTTCTTCTTCACTAATATCTCCTTTATCTTGAACAACGTTCTTCCGTTTTTCTTTGTACCCAGCTTTATTACACAAAATAATTTGAAAAGAAATCACACCATTTTTT